GATTGAACAGGAAAAAAAGTTAATAATTATAATTATTAATTATTTTTAATAATTAAATTAAATTAAATTAATATTTTAAAAATAATATTAAAAAATTATTTAATAATAACAATTTTAAGTGCAGTACTGATGACTGACGCCAAGCAAACAAGGAAATGTGTAAGAAGTAAGTATTATTTTTCTCTCCATGTTTGCTGCCAATGCCATCCAACAAACGAAATGAAAACTATAGAATCTTAAACTTTTCTTTTAGGGAAGAATCATCTTAAACTTTTCTTTTAGAGAGAAATCTAAAAGAAAAGTAACTACTTTTCTTTTAGATTTCTCATCTTAAACTTTTCTTTTAGGGAGAAATCTAAAAAGAAAAGTAACCACTCTTCTTTTAGGCCCTAAAAGAAGAGTGGTTACTTTTCTTTTTAGATTTCTCCCTAAAAGAAAGGTTTAAGATTCTATAGTCTTCATTTCGTTTGTCGGATGGCATTGGCAGCAAGCAGCAAACATATATAGAGAGAAAAATAATATTTAATTCTTACATATTTCCTTGTTTGCTTGGCGTCAGTCATCACTGCACTTAAAATTGTTATTATTATATATAGAGAGTATTTGACCGGTTTACCCTTGTGCAGGTAATCTTTCTGGTCCTTTGACGAGATAATTGAGTCCTTGACGGTCATTTCCGGTTCCTTTTGCTTATAAATAACCATCGCTTCTCATTTCTTAAACCCATCTAATTTGGAGTTGGGCAGAATCTAAAGATTGTATTCCTCCTGTTCCTGCAACTGCGTTAGAGCAGATTTTATTTTTTCTCTACTAATTACTCTACAGTCCAAAATGCCTTCCCCCAGCATCCAAATTATTCAGCTTCTGAGGTTAGTAACTGCTTTGTCTTTGACTTAAATGTATTTTTCAGTTGAATATGGGAAATCAGTTTCTTTGTTTTTCCTTTTTCATTTGTATTTAGAATCAGTATAGTGTTAGTGTAAGACCAAAATTTTCTAGGTTAAATTCTAATTTTGTTTTTAAACTTTAATGGTTTGCACTTTGCACACTCTTTTATGTAAGTTTTTCATGTGGCTTTATTTTTTGTTTATTAGCTCTATTTATCTAATTAAAATTTATAATATTATATATATTTATTTAATGGTATATGAAAGTTATATAGAAAAATTATACAAAAAAGTTGCAGGCATATCATCACCTTGTTTAATATTTATTATCTCTAATTAATTGATAGTTGAATTAGTATTCTTATTTAATATATGTTGTAAATATTTTTAAAGTAAAGGTAAAATATGAATAAATATATTAAATAACATTATAAAAAATAAAAAATTAAATTTAAATGTTACAAATTAAAAATTAAGTATGTTAGAGTTGAATGAAGGAAAATTTTGTTTCTATATTGAAAATCATTTTAAAATGACTGTAAATAAAAATTATTTAAAATTTAAAAATAAAATAAATTGCAAGCACCATGGACAATAAGATGGGCTTAAAGTTTAGTTTCGTTACATTGGGCCTGACGCCATATGAATTATGAAGCCTGCTAATTAACTTTCTCAATTTCCATTATGGATTTGCTTTGCAGGCGGTGCGAGTCCTTTTCTGCTGGAACAATAGCCATATTGGGCCTACTAATAGCAGCATTTACTCCTTTACTACAATACTCGGTCCTCTCCCCGCCCTTTGTTTCTTTTATACTGTCCATTTATTGTGTAATGATGATGTTGTGCACTATAGCACTGATTGCAGATGTTGGTCTCGGAATTGCTTGTCTCGATTCCCGCGCATGCCATTGGAGTGAAATTTTGAGGACTATTACTGTCCTAACGGGTTCATTAGCCGTCCTTTCACTCATTTTCATTAGCAAACCATACATTGCCTTGGTCTTCTTACTCATGTGGCTCCTCCTTGCTATACACCTTATTCTCAGTCTATATCAGACTTAACCCAACCCAGGCTGCCTATTACCATCATCACTGCATCCAATTCCATCAGTGCTTTTGATTCCGTCAATGCAGTACTTGGTATGATTGAAAATTGGGCGACAAACTTGTTCCCCTGGTAAACAACAGTGATTCTAGTGCCCTGTTGACGGAATTGTCATTGATTGTCTCCTTTCTTGTTTCAAAGCAATTCTCTGATGTGTAAAATAAGTTTTCAGGTATGTTGTTGGTGTGTGTATCTTGTAGGGAGTTACATCAGATGTAATTCTAATATAATGTGTGAGGGTTAGATCTTGAATTTTAGGCCTTGTGATGGGTAAAATTGTAACTTAAAGCCTGATTCAGAACTTCTGTCTACCTACTTGCATATCCAATTAAGAGCATAATAATTAAGGAAAATATAGCTTTAGCTGTTCATTGTAGCACAAAGATTTTTCCCTCAAAATTCTTTACATTTCCCAGTAGCAAGTTACCCAGTACAACTTTCAAAATCTTGTAAACGGCTACTGTCATCATCTACATGGCAAAATCAAAAGCATCGTCATATATATATATAAAGATTGACACACAGACCTAATACAACTATTTCCACTGTGTTTTTGTATTCACAAAGGTCACTTTCCATTTGTAGCACATGGTTGAGGAAGAATTTCTTGGCATGAATTACGTCTACCTCATTTGGAATTTCAGTGTCTTTATGCAGTAGGGATACGTGAAAGCAAAAAACACTGTGAATCTAACCAGAACACCAGCAACTAGTCCCATGAAGTTTGGATCATACCCGAAATGGCTCTCAATATATGATCTAATAGGTGGGACTACTGTGGAACCTGCAACTTTGATTGTCCATTCTACATCACCATATTGTGATATAATTAATCCATAAACTGTCCATGCCACAGGGCAGATCCAGTAGAACCAAATCCACCACTTGGGAATTCTCTGCAATTTCATCAACAGGGAATGAATTTTTGAGTCAATATGATTAATTGAATTATGAATAAAATAGACTTGCTTGTGAATAAAGATAACTCACCAATTTTGTAGTTGCAAAGAACTCCGAAGTGCTCCCAAGCTCGGATCTTCACTTCGGCCAACCTGCAAAGCCCCGAGGTTGGCCCTCGGGGTAGACACTCCGATGCCTAAGTCAGCAATAATCAGAGCTACCAGATATGAAGTAAGAGTTAAGCTCGAGTTTGGTTTCAATTACCCTTTGGAGAGGACCCTTGGGGGGTATTTATAGCCTTCAAGGAGGTGTCCACGTGTTGATCTTTGAGGAAAACCAGGGTCATG